GACATACCCTGCAGGGCTGCAGGTGATGGCTCAAGTGCCCACACCGAGTGCCTGGGCTTCTGGTACACATCTTCATGCTGCTGGCATTAAAAAAAAAAATCAGAAATCAGAAAACAATCTCTGTCTTAAGTCCAACATGGTAGCCTAGTGGCTAAATCCTTGCCTTGCACAATCCAGCATCCCATACGGACACCAGTTCATATCCCAGCTGCTCCCCTTCCCAGCCAGCTCCCTGTCTGGGGCCTGAGAAAACGGTTGAGGGTTTCAGCTTGAAACCTTGCACCAGCAGGGAAGACCCAGAAGAAGATCCTGGCTCCTGGCTTCAGACTGGCTTGACTCCGGCCATTGCAACCACTAGGGGAGTGAACCAGCAGACGGAAGAGTTCTCCCGTCTCTCTGTGAATCTGACTTTGCAATAAAAATAAATAAATCATTTTTAAAATTCTGTCATTTAAACAAAGTGGCTTTAATATTGTGTCCCCATTTACTATCTGATTGCTACCATGCTAACCAGAGAAGGGCCTCCAACCAAACCCGGAATGGGTGGCGGAATTCTGGCGGGCCCCTCAGGCGATGAGACCACCATTGCACCAATGAGGGGCACAGACCTATATCCCCCCACCAATAAGGGCCGAGGCGACCCCCGTTTTGGCGTCTGTGTCATCACTTCCGTGCTCTTCTTCCTCTGCAGCCCAGGCCTTCATGTCTGGCTTTTCGCTGCACGGGAAAGGGAAGCCCAAGACCGTGGTTCCTAAATTCTTTTCATATATTCAGCGGAGTTATTCTTTCCCTGGAGGTCAGTGAATCTAACACTACCTGTATAGCTAAGCAATGCCAAACCAGCAGGCCAACACGCACAGCAGGTAGAGGCAGTGCTGGGCAGACACTGACTGCACCCCAGCTGCCCGCTTCCCATCCAGCGCCCTGCTAATGCGCCTGGGAGAGCGGCAGAATATGGCCCAGGTGTGTGGGTCCCTGCACCCTGGTGTAACTTTTGTGGGTTCACAGCACTTTGGCCAAGGATTGTGAAGACTTTAATGGAAGGAGGAACTGATACTAAAAATGCACAGAATGAAAAAAAATGTGGCAGACAATATAAATATAAATATGTGAGAAGCCAAGCAGTTTTTAATCATTACTATTAAATACTGTCAATGGCTGGTTAAACACACCAGCTTACCCAAAGCACCTTTCCAGAACTAAGAGCTGATCAGCGTATTTGTTAATTGCTCTGAGAATAAACTTCATTTATTTTAAAAGGTTACTGCAGTGTCCTTAGGGTTTGCTATACTCCAGGAGCCTACAAAGGCCTTCCTATTCACGCTGACAGGGCAGGAGAGAGGCTGTGGTGCATCTCAGCATCCGTGCCCTGCCTCCAGACATCCTTAACCTCCTGAACCGGCCTTCCCCAGTGCACAATCAAAGCAGTTTGCCAAACAACCATCAAGACACACAAATGGAGGGATATTTGGAGCAGCTGCAAAAGCTCTATTAAGGACAACAACATGGGTGAGCGAATCTCTAACTCTTTAAGGTTAAACATCCACTTGGGTGAGATTTAACAACAAGAGCAATACTACAATAATGAAATGGCTTCTCAAACTTTCCCCCAAGGCCCAGAAGAGAGCCCTGAGGGGAAACACTGAAAGCTCACACAGGGTTCCAGTCCCAGACCTGCACATTCCCCTCATTCCCCTGCAGCGTCCAGCTCCCCCCGCCCCCGCCGCCCCCCGGCCCTGGGAGGCAGCAGGCGATGGGCAATCTCAATGGTGGTCCTGGCTGTGGCTTTAGCCCGCCCAGTCCCTGCAGGTATCTGGGGAGTAAGCCTGTGGATGAGTGCCATCTTCCCCTGCCTTCAAATAAATAAAAACAATAAATCTCCATATGTGTTTTATAATTAACTCCCCAAACAAAGCCTGCACTCAGCCCAGTCCCTCACTGTCAGCTTCTCAAACAGGCAAACTGAATTCTCCTATCCACTCACAGCAAGCGGGCCCACCTGTCCACTCTGCCCTTCAGGATGCCACTCCACCTGCCCACTCCTTCCAGTGCACCACCCAGCAGCCAACTGCGCCCATTTCTCTCCCACCTCCTGCCCACTCTACAGCAATACCTAGGAGACACCTCATCTTCCCCTAAAACCACATATCCACTACACCTGCTGATCCCACTCGTTTCCAAACAAGAATGTTCACACTGACCCTTCCAAAGCCAAGGGCCCCTCCAGGGCATCCCTGGAGAACTTGGACTGTTCGCAGTGACCAACAACCCCTGCAGTGGACCACCGGAAAGGCCCCCGGGTCTCACAGCACTGAGGGCTCTGACCACGCAAGGCCACAGGTGCCCTCATCCATCAACAAAGACTGCCAGTCCCTAATCTGGTCCCTTCTCAGCAAGCTCCAGCCACAGTGGCCTCCTAGCTGATCTCCAAGGCCTTCGGACTTCCTCATGCTCTGCCCACGGCACTCTCCTTGGGGAGATGTAAAGATTATCAAAATAAAATAATAGTTAAAAAGAAAGAAAAAAATGAAAAAAAAAAATCTTTAAAAAAAGTACAAAAAAAGGGGCCCGGCGCGATGGCGCAAGTGGTTAAGGTCCTTACCTTGCACGCCCGGGATCCCATACAGGCACCGGTTCTAATCCCGGCAGCACCACTTCCCTTCCAGCTCCCTGCCTGTGGCCTGGGATAGCAGTCAAGGACAGCCCAAAGCTTTGGGACCCTGTACCCGCATGGGAGACCCGGAAGAGGCTCCTGGCTCTGGATTGGCTCAGCTCCAGCTGTTGCGGCCACCTGGGCAGTGAATCAGTGGATGGAAGATCTTCCTCTCTGTCTCTCCTCCCTGTATATCCGCCTTTTTAATAAAAATTAAAAAAAAAAAAACTTTAAAAAAAAAAGTACAAAAAAAAGCTGGTTAAAACAGCCACATCCCATGTCCAAGCGCCGGGTCTGACGCAGACCAAGCTCTGCATTGTAGCTGGCTGCAGACACATCCCCTGCACGGCTCAGGGAGCTGGCTCCTTGTCACCGCGTGGAGACATGGATGGAGTCTCTAGCGCCTGTCCCGCACAGCCCAGCCACTGTGTATGTGAGCCAGCAGACGGAGAATGAGCCCTGTCCTTAAAGATTTTTGGGCAATAACAATCTTAACATCAACGTCAAGAGGACCATAGTCTGGACTCGTTCCCAACCCTAGAACAGAACAGAGCGCCACCCATCCTTACTGCATTGTGAGACAGCAGGTACAGGTGCCACCTGTGTGGCACTGCTTCAAGTCTCACCTGATCCACTTCTGAATGTGTACAAGTGCTTGGAACCTGCACCTGTGTGGGTGACCCAGACGAAGCTCCTGGCTCCTGGCTTCGGCCTGGCTTAGCCAAGTGGTCGCAGCCATCTCACTCTCCCTTCTCTCTGTACTTTCTTCAAGTAACTTATATATACATACTTGGGGCCTGGGGCAACAGCCTAATGGTTAAATCCTCACCTTGTACACAACGGGATCCCATGTAGGCACTGTTTTGTGTCCCAGCAGCCCCACTTCCCATCCAGCTCCCTGCTGTGGCCTGGGAAAGCAGTGGAGGACGGCCCAAGGCATTGGGACCCTGCACCCGTGTGAGAGACCTGGGAGAAGCTCCTGGCTCCTGGATTAACTAAGCCCAGTCATGAGAGCCTCTTGGGGAGTGAACCTGTGGATGGAAGATCTCCTGGCTCCTGGCTTCAGACCAGCTCAGTTCTGGCTGTTTTGACCATTTGGGGATAAGAGCTTTCTCTCTGTCTCTCCTTTTCTCTCTAAATTTGACTTTCCACTAAAATTAAATAAATTTTAAACTATATTTTTTTCTGAAAGTTTTAGTCTTACTGTGAAACTGTTTTATTAAAAGGAAAATATGGATTTACTCATTCAACACTTTATGGCACAGAGTCTGCAGGCGCGAGGCTGAAAGCCAGCAGATGCATTTCCCAAGTTCTCCTTGCGAACTAGCCACTAGAAGCCACAGAAGCAAGACCCCACTACAAGGTCACGTCTCCCCACACTGTGAAACAGAGACGCCTGGAAACAACCTAAGTGTCCAAACACAGAGAACTGAACCAAGAACTCTGACACAGCCTTGGATCATGACTTAATCCACACCACAGGAAGTCAAGGATTTCAAACCCTGCCCGCTCCATCCAGCCCAGCTGCTCCTCATGCGCCTGCGAAAGCAGCAGAGCATGGCCAAGTCCTGTTGCCCTACACTCACATGGGGAGGCTCCTGGCTTGAGGCCAGCCCAGATCCCACCGTTCCAGCCACTTGGGGAGTGAACCGTGGGTGGAAGAGTTCTCTCTCTGTGTAGCTCTGGTTTTCAAACAAAAAAGTAAATCTTAAAACAAAAATCATCTAGGGCCCGGCGCGGTGGCGCAAGTGGTTAAGGTCCTCGCCTTGCACGCCTGGGATCCCATACAGGCACCGGTTCTAATCCCGGCAGCCCCGCTTCCCTTCCAGCTCCCTGCCTGTGGCCTGGGAAAGCAGTCGAGGACGGCCCAAAGCTTTGAGAACCTGCACCCGCGTGGGAGACTCGGAAGAGGCTCCTGGCTCTAGATTGGCACAGCACCGGCTGTTGCGCTCACTTGGGGAGTGAATCATCGGACGGAAGATCTTCCTCTGTCTCTCCTCTCTGTATATCCGCCTTTCCAATAAAAATAAAATAAACCTTTAAAAAAATCATCTAAAGTAGAAAGAAAAATTATATAATGTATTTCATTCAACATAAAATATAATTTCAACCTGAAATCAACAACACTAATTCTGTAAGACATATTCTGAATCCGTCCTTCCCACACAGTCTTACACTTAGGGCCCCATCTCAGGTGTCAGCACACTTGCGGACAGAGAAAAAGGAAAAGGTTCATGGTAGTTAGTCAAAGTGGCAAGTTATATTTTGCAGAAATAGCCAAACTGATCCTAAAAGTCACACAGAAATGGAAAGAATCCAAACAAACCATTTCTGAGAAAGAACAAACCTGGGCTCACGACCCTTGGTCCACAGCTCAGCAGCGCCGAGGGAGCCGGACGCACAGCCCGCTAGTGGAGACAGTGAGGGCAGGACGCACTCCTTGTCTCCAACGGAAGCAGGTGGGCTTCTGACAGTTAACCGGTGACAAGGATATTAACGCCAGTGGAGGGTGACAGCCTCGTCAAAATCACCGGACATCCATATGCAAAATATAAAACTGGACCCTACTTCAGAAAAGGCACAAAAATTAACTCAAACTGATCACAAAGCAAAACAACTACAACAATTTCTGGCACCGCTGTGGCAGTGCAGCAGCCTAAGCTACTGGATGCCACGCCAGCATCGCACCCCGCCCACGCAGCATCTCATCAGCCCCTGCCAACGTGGCAGCACAATAAACAAATCTTAAAACATGTATGCACTGCTATAGTTCATTTTGGTAAAATCCATAGTTTTCTGTAATATTAAACACTTTTATTTGAATTTGAGGACCCTTCTTTTGCATTAATTTCAAAATTTCTCTGTACAAAAATAAGCTTATCTTCTTAAGCAATGTTATTTGTGTACTCTGATAAGCATTTTCTCTTCTTCCTTTTTTTCCATTTATTTATCTGAAAAGCAAAGCAACAAAGAGAGCTCTTCCATCTGCTGGGTCACTCCTCAAGTGGCTGCAACAGCCAGGGCTGCCAAGAAGCTAGAGCCAGGGAGCCTGGCACTCGACCCACATGTCCGGCGGGAACCACTGCGGCTGGCCCAGCCTCGCTGCCCTCCCCAGCAGGGAGTGAGTGCAAAGCGGAGCAGCCACAAACTCCCTGTCTACAAACCCTTCTAGTGCTCTTACCCGCCCAGGCCAGCTACATGCTCAGGTTAACTTGTGAGGACTCTCTCTACAGACATAGTAACCAGGAAGGGAGACAGCGCAAGGTACATCGAGACTGAGTTAACACAACCGGCATCACCCATCCCCACAGCCTCGCTCACTGCACAAGGTGCACTACTCAGATGCTGCCACTTCCATACAAATGCAAGTCAACACACAGAAACAGAACCGACTCGCCCAGGGCTGACGGAGGTGGGGAACACACAAGACGGCTCATTGGGGGTGATGAAAACAGTGACAACACTTCTGCAAAAACCACTGAACTCTATTAAGTGGACACTTTTATTGGAATCATATTTCAACAAAACTATCATTTTTTAAAGATTTATTTGTTTTTATTGCAAAGTCAGATATACAGAGAGGAAGATCTTTCGTCTGATGATTCATTCCCCAAGTGGCCGCAATGGCCAGAGCTCCAGAGCTGAAGCCAATAGCCAAGAGCCTCTTCCAGGTCTCCCACGCGGGTGCAGGGTCCCAAGGCTATGGGCTGCCCCTGACTGCTTTCCCAGGCCACAGGCAGGGAGCTGGATAGGAGGGACCCATCCAGTGGCCTAGCAGCTGACGCCTTCTTGAACACACCAGGATCCCCTGTAGGTGCAGGTTTGTGTCCTGTTTGCTCTACTCCCTTCCCATCCAGGAGCCTGCATGTGGTCAGAGAGAGCAGTGGAGAAAAGCCCAGAGCCTGAGGTCCATGCACCCACGTGGGAGTCCAGACAGATCTCCCGGCTCCGGGCTTCGGATCAGCTCGGCTTCAGCTGTTGTGGTGATTTAGGAATGGATGATCTCTGTCTCTCCTTCTGTGCATCTGCCTTTAAAATAAACAAACAGGGGCCCGGCGGCGTGGCCTAGCGGTTAAGGTCCTCGCCTTGAACGCGCCAGGATCCCATATGGGCGCCGGTTCTAATCCCAGCAGCTCTGCTTCCCATCCAGCTCCCTGCTTGTGGCCTGGGAAAGCAGTCGAGGACGGCCCAAAGCTTTGGGACCCTGCACCCATGTGGGAGACCCGGAGGAAGTTCCTGGATCCCGGCTTCAGGTTGGCACAGCACCGGCCGTTGCAGTCACTTCGGGAGTGAATCAGTGGATGGAAGATCTTCTTCTCTGTCTCTCCTCCTCTCTGTATATCTGACTTTCCAATAAATAAATAAATCTTTTTTAAAAATAAACAAACAAACAAATAAAAGCAAATTATAGGGATCTAGCGCAACAGTTCCGCTAGCTAGTCCTCCACTGTGCACGCCTGGGATCCCAGACGGTCACCAGTTCGTGTCCCAGCTGCTCCACTTCCATCCAGCTCCTGCTTGTGGCCTGGGAAGCAGCAGCAGATGACCCAAAGCTTTGGGACCTTGCACCCACATGGGAGACCCAGAAGAGGCTCCGGGTTCCTGGCTTTGGATTTGCCTAACTCTGGCCATTGAAGCCAGTTAAGGAGTAAACCAGCAGATAGAAGATTTCTGTGTTTCCTTTCTGTGTCTTCATTTTTCAAATGAAACAAATCTTAGAAAATTCTAACTTTTCTTCCTGTTATCTGAATGGCCATTACATTTTTTTCTTTTTTTTTTTTTTACTTATACAGAGTTTATTTTCTATTTGAAACAATGCAGATTTACAGAGGAAAGAGAGGCAGGGAAAGGACTTCCATTTGCTGGTTAATACCACAAATGGCTCCAACGGTGAGAGCTCACCTGATCCCAAGTCAGGAGCCACTTCCAGGTCACCCACACGGGTGCAGGGTCCCACGGAGTTGGGCCTTCTGCTTTCCCAGGCCACAGGCAGGGACCTGGTTGGGAATGGAGCATCCAGGACATGAACCGATGCCCAAGTGCAACACCAGCATCAGCAGGTGGAAGAGTAGCTAATTGCATCACCGTGGCAGCCCCCAAGGGGTGCTTTTTAAAACTGCAAACCCGGGCCAGTGCTGTACCGCGCGAAGCACTGCCTGCAACGGCCTCACCTGCTGTGGCTGAGCAGTCCTGGGGTCTGACCACAGTCAGGACCAACTCCAGTGTGAACCCCAAGACAGGGAAGCTTTTCTCTCTCCCAGCCGCCCCCTTCTCCCTGCCACACAACTCTACCTTTCAAATGCATTAACCTATTCAAACCAAAACAAAATCCTAACACTGACTTAGCACGCTCCCCATGCCCCATTCCCTAAGAGAGAACATGACATATGCCAGAGGACCAACAGCAGTCAGGTCACGGGAATATCTGCATGTCTAAACACACTACCAGAAGCACGGCGGTTTTTTCCTGAAAACAAAAGACACACACACACCTTCCCAGGACCCAAATACTGATAAGGGCTCCGTGTGGCCCAGCAGACCTAGCTGCACAGAGGCGGCTCCACCGACATCAAGTCCACAGCTCTGCTGTCTCCTGGGAAAACGACCACCAAGCCCCACTGAGTCCCACCTTGGGCCTCACCAGTGACTGAGGCCTTTGTAAGCAGGCGGTGGTGACCATGAGGGTGAGGCGGGAGGGAGACTGTGGTGCCCCCCCAGGGCCTGGACTCTCAGGCTGGCCTTCCATAAAGGCAGCTGCCACCCGGCTGGAACAGTACTCTCAGCATCAGTCACTTCTGATCAGCACCCTCCAAAGCCCACCCCTCGTCCCCAGCGACAGTTCAGACTTGGGCAGTAACCCTGGGTCCGCAGGTGAGCTGTCAGGGTGCTGTGCACAACATGCAGAGAACCACAAGAAAGTAAGAGGAGCCCAGACAGGAGTGAAACCAGTGTGGGGGGTCTCTGGTGGCCCTTCCCAGTGTGTGTGTGGGGGGGCTCTGGTGGCCCTTCCCAGTGTGTGTGTGGGGGGTCTCTGGTGGCCCTTCCCAGTGTGTGTGTGGGGGGGTCTCTGGTGGCCCTTTGGGGCCCAGGAAACAGAGAGGACTAGGCAGGGCTTGACTGGCCTTACCGTTCAAGGACACACAAACACACCAGAGATGTACCCAAACGTCACCCTCGGATGGAGGGCGACAGGGAACACTGCTTGTTTTTATCTCCATGTGTTTTCCCTGGGTAGACACCGTAACAACGGCAGGAACTTCTGGCGGCTAGAGATCCAGAAAGTGTACAGGGTCAGAGGAACCTTCCCACACTTGATTTCTCAAAGAACACATCAGGCAGGCTGCTGTTTAGGATATCCATATACATATCTCCCCAATCAAAGCCGAGTGTGAGTCCTGGCTCTTCCGCTTGTAGTACAGCAAAAGATGGCTCGAACGCTTGGGTCGCCGATCTCAAGGGAGACCCATGCAGCTGCTGGCTGGTGGACTCAGCTGGTCCAGGTCCCCGATCTCAAGGGAGACCCATGCAGCTGCTGGCTGGTGGACTCAGCTGGTCCAGGTCCCCGATCTCAAGGGAGACCCATGCAGCTGCTGGCTGGTGGACTCAGCTGGTCCAGGTCCCCGATCTCAAGGGAGACCCTGTGCCAACTGCTGGCTGGTGGACTCAGCTGGTCCACGTCTGTTCCTGAACCTTGAGGCCTGAATCCCCACCCCTCCCCATCCAACCTATCACTCTAGATGGAAATAGATTTTAAAAAAAATGATCTTCAAGTGCTAGATTTAATAATAATAATAATAATAATAATAAAGCATTTCCTCCTGAATTTTTTAGCCAAGACTTAATAAACTTTTCTTTTTCCTATAATGGTCCTAAATATTGTAGAATTCATAGATCACATACAGCCTGTCACACGGTGCTTTGCTTGGTTTTTTACAACCTAGGGGCTGGTGCCATGGCTCAGCACACTGGTCCTCTGCCCTGAGTTGTCACCACCCCATATGGGCACCGGTTCATATTCCAGCTGCCCCGCTTCCCATCCAGCTCCCTGCCCGTGTGTCTGTCCTTCCCACCCAGCTCCCTGCCTGTGGCCTGGGAAAGCAGTCGAGGACGGGCCACAGCCTTGGGACCTGCACCCGCGTGGGAGTCCTGGAGGAAGCTCTTGACTGCAGTCTTCAGATCACCTTGTGAACCAGCAAGTGGAAGACCTTTCTCTTTCTCTCTCTCTCACTGTCCTCTCTCTTTCCTTCTCTCTGTAAATCTGCCTTTCAAATAAAAATAAATTTTTAAAGACAAAAAAAAAACATAAAAACCATTCTCATCTCTGTGGCCTGCCAATCAATCCAGTTCAGACACCAGCACTCTCAGCTGGGCTCTCACACCTCAGCCTGCTGCCAGCCTGGCCACTGGCACCACTGCCCTCACACCCCCACCTGCGTGCCTACTCCTAGCTGTCCCACTACGCCACACGTATCAGAGGTTCTCTGGAAAGAAGTCCGTTTCATCCCCCACATCACCTAGGACCCAACACTAGCACACAGTGCTGTGCCTCTGAAACTCCTCAGCAGGCTGCTTTAGGCACAGCATAGGTGCATTTTAAGGTGCTTACTTAAGCATTTTCTGTCATGAGCAGCTGGGTGCTTGCTTGTGGTCAAGCACTGACTCTGGGCTCAGCGAGCGGCACCTTCGGTTCTGACTTAAATGCCAGGAGCCCCAGCCAGATTGAGGTTTTCCTCCAAAGATGAGTTACTGTCCATATGGCTTTTAAAACACTATGCTGTCAGACTT